CTCGGGTTGTGCCTTTCGGGATTGCTCCTGGAACGAGCCCTGAGGATGTCCTCTGGACGCTCTCTCAGGATGCACCCTTTGCCTCCATCACATGCCCTAAGACGCATCCATAAATGAAATATCCCCACTGTGCACCCCATGTTCTGCCCAGGGATGCACCCTGTGCCCGTGGGCTGTGCCCCAGAGTGCACCCTGTGCCCTGCAATGCACTCAGGGGTGCGTTCTGTCCCCCGCTGTGCCCTCAGAAACGTGCTGTGTGCCCTGGGATGTGCCATGCACTCCCGGGATGTGTCAGGATGTGCCTGGGCTGCACCGTGTGCCCCTGGGGGTGCCCCAGAATGAGTCCCAGGATGTGGCTGGACCCTCAGCTTGTGCCCCAGGGGCTGTGCCGTGACCCCCAGGATCCCACTGGGCTCTGCTGTGTGCCCTGGGATGTGCCCCAAATTGTGTCMCCTCATCTGGTCCCCTCTGCCCTCCCAGGCAGTGTCACCAGGGTCTTCCCCCATTGGTAGGGGGCACACACGGTGCTGCATCATCGGGGGGGGGGTGACTCCAGGCAGGGAGGGGACCACAGCTCCACTGCAGAAAGGGACACGGCTCATCCTGCAGGACACACCAGGGGTCAGCCGGCACCTGGGCAGGGTCAGATCTCTTCCCAAGCCCCGTGTCCTGCTGCCAGAGGAGCGTGGGCAGTTCCAGAGGGCTGCAGGCACTTGTGGCCACCTTGGGACCTCTCTCCAGGAGCCACATCTGCCCCACATCCTGAGTGACCACAAGGGTTCACTCCTGTCAGGSTGGCAGGTGACAGTGTGACAGTCACCCTGCAGCCAGTGCCAGCCTCAGCATTGCCCCGTGACTGTCAAAGGCTCTRTGGCCATTAATCATGGCCAAGAACAGCCAAGCCACTGTGGGCAYGAAAAGCTGTGCCGTTCCCAGGGCTGTTTTCCTTTCATCAGCCACACGAGCACCGAAACACAGAGTAAATATTTGGCTGAAGTGCTGGCCCATGGGCTGGGRGCCTTGGTGGGCTCTGGATCCTCGCAGAGGATCCCACACACTCTGGGATTTCTCCAGCAGGTTTCTGGTGTTTGTGATCCCAGAATTTGTGYGATGGAGGATCTGGTGATGGGCACTTTCCCATGGAGCAGAGCTCCTGCCACAGCAGCAGCCCTCCCTCGGCCCATGGACCCATCAAGGAGGGCTCAAGGAGGGAATTCCAGAGAATTCCAGCTCCACAGCCCCCYGCTGCCAGGGGAAAGCAGAGGAAGAAGGATGAGAGGCACAGAAGTGCCATTCCTTTGTGTTCCCTTTCCCCAAGGGAGCTGCCAAAGGGCAGAGTGACATCACCAGTGGGGGACAATCACTTGGGGACTGTCACCGGGGAACAGGACCTGGTATCCCTGGCTGCCTGGGCATCCCTGTTCCCCTGCCCTGGGCAGCGCAGCAGTGCCCCAATGCCACGAGTTGAGGCGTGATAGGAGCAGCCAGGTCAGCTGATGGACACAGCGGCTATAAAACACCTGCTGGCCCCGTGGCACAGACACAGCCGAGCCCACCATGGCCAAGGTGCTGCCTGCCTGCCTGCTCCTGGCCCTGCTGCTCCTGGCCCCGGCCCTGTCGGCTCAGAATGAGCGGGGGCTCTTCTTCGACCTGGTGAGAGGAGGCTGAGCCTGTCCCTGCACAGGGTGCTCTGGGATGTGCGAGGGGCATGCAGTGTGTGCAGGGTCTGCTGGGTTTTCTGCTGCTGTGGGGGAGCTTGGAGCCTTTTCCCTGTGGGGGAAAGCAGCTCTGTAAAGGGACAGAGAAACCAGAAAGTGCRTGAGATTGAAGGTCTCAGTTACCTGGGCCAGCCAGGACCCCCACCCTGGGTGGCTCACAGGGTCTGGGGAGGGGACAGGCTTTCCCTGTGGCATCTCACCCCTGTTCCTGTGAGTCCAGCAAAAAAACCAGCCCTTTGGTGGGTGGTGTTTGGGGTCAGACTGGGAAAATGCTGCCAAAAGGGAGGCTGGGGCGTGCAGGCAGAAAGGCAGAACTGATGTTCAACACCCACCCAAACCCTTCGGGMTCCCAGCTCGGGTGACATTAAAGGGTGACAGAGAGGGGCCCGGTGCTCAGACCCTGCCTTGTGCTGCAGGATGTTGGGGAGCTGTGCATGCAGAGCGCCCAGTGCAAGAGCGGCTGCTGCCACCGCCGCAACGGCCTCAGCCTGGCCCGATGCGCTCCCAAAGCAGCCGAATTCCAGGATTGCTCCCCCAAGGTAGGTGCCTCCCTGCTCCCAGGGGTGGGTGGGGATGGGGGCATGGTCCCCACGCTGCACCGTGTCCTGGTTCCCTGCAGAACATCTATGGGGTCTACTACAAGTGTCCCTGYGAGAGAGGCTTGACCTGTGACGCCGATAAAACCATCGTGGGCTCCATCACCAACAGCAACTTCGGTCTCTGCAAGGACCCCCAGGACTCGTACAGGCGGTGAAGAAAGAGACCCCCCTGTACCCCTCTGTGCTGCCCCTGCCACCCTGCCCTTCCCACTCTCCAGGGATGCCTGGAGCTCTGGGGCAATTTGAGTAAAGAGCAGCTTCTGCCAAGCTGCAAGACGGAGTTTTCACTCGGCCCGGCCCCCTGGCCCAGGATGGGACAGCAGGGCCAGAAGGGCCAAAAAAATCCACAGGGAAATGATGGCTTTACCCATCTGTGTGCACAATCATTCAATAATCTGAGCCACGGGGTGAGCTCTGCTCTAGGGGAGTGTCAGAAAAGGGGATGCACGGAAAGTGCAGCAGCCCCAGGATCTGAGGGAGCCTCTGGGGTTGTGCTGAATTTGGTTTATTTCYTGCTGGGGCTGCCCTGGAAAGGTTTGATGCCAGAGAAGAGGGACTCGCAGGTGGTGCTGAAGCWGTGGGTGCTCAGGGTGCTTGGTGGCCATGTCCACCTCTGTATTGTCACCCTGCAGCCTCTGGATGACCACTCGTGCTGGGAGCTGGACCTGCTCCTCAGGGAGGGCAGATGAGGCTGGGAGATGCACAGCCAGGTGGGAGACCTCCCTGGAAAGGGCCCTGTGCAGGCAGCAGCTGTGCCATGGGAGCCCCTTGTGCAGCAGCTCCAYCAGCACCTTGTAGGGCATTTTCTCGGGCTGCAAGGTGTGCAGGAACTTTGGGAATTYGGGATGGATGTGGGCAGTGATGGTGCTTGGAGCAGCAGCCCTGGCTGGCAGCAAAGTTCAAACCCTCTCAGCCCTGCCCCTGGCAGAGCTGTGCTCGGGCAGGGGGGGCTGCAGGGAGCAATGCCCAGCTCTGGGTGAGTGCTTGGCCATGGGGAAGGAGCAGAAATGTTCCACAGCAGGGTGAGGAAGAGGAAGCACCCGCCTGGCAGAGCTGGGCAAGCAGCAGGGGATGAGGGGTTCATCAGAGAGGGCGTCCTTGGCTTCTCCAGTGCAGGGTTCACCCCACATTTTAATATCCCTGGGAGCAGAGCAAGAATGAGGCACCCACAGCACCACTCCCCACTGCCCCGAGAGCTCTGCACCACATAGGGGGCCACAAAGGCTTGGGGCCACCCCTGACAGCTGAGAAAGTGCTGCAGGAAACTTTCTTTTGAACAAAGTCGACTGGCAGCTCGAGGATCTGCACCTGCAGAAACACCAGGGACACGTCTGGGAGGGTGGCACAGCTTGGGGGGTCCTCATGATGGAAGGGGAATGTGGGGGACCAGGCGGGGGCTGCTGGCCCCTGCAAGTCTGGCTCGGAGGAGCTCCCAGAGGAGAAAATTCTGACCTGGATTGGAGTTTTAAACTCGTGGTGGGTGGTGAAAGCTTTGAGGGTCCTGTTCCCGTTGTGGTGGTGGTCCTGGCAAGAGGCCACCAGATCGACGAACCCACTGGTGCAGGGTGAGGTGTGGAGGAAGGGCGGAYGGGGAGGGGGCAGGGCCAGCAGCCCCTCTCCTGCAGCAGCCAGCCAGCCCCCGGCAGAGCGAGGGGAGGGGACACACGGGACACGGGGTCTGTCCCTGGACTCCCCATCAGKGTCCTGAGCCCCMCAGCAGCCCCACAGCAGCGGGARGCACCCCGGGGAGGCTGGCGTTTCCTAGAACGCACCCGGGGATCCCGGGAGCCCTGCCTGCCCGGGGCCAGCCTCCTCCGCCGCTCYGTGTCCCTGCCAGGGCAGGATGTGAGCAACGCCCAGCCCCGGGACCGGCAGAGGGCAGCGGCACCGTGCCCGCAGCGCGGGGACCCCCAGAGCAGCAGGAATCCCCCAATTCCGCTGACAACGCTGCCTTGGGGTCCCCGAAATGCGCCCAACCCTGACACTCTTTGCGTCCCGCAGTGGGGGACCCCCGGAAGGAGGGGCAGTGATATTGGGGTGGGGGAAMGCGCAGCCCGGGCTCATCTCTGCTGTTTGAAGGGGGATTTCGTGGTGTCCCCGTTTTTGTGGTGTCCCTACCTTGGCAGAAAGAGGAGGGGTGCACCAGAGAGGTGGGAATGGGGCGGCTGCGCCGAGGTGGGGGACGCCCGAACCCCTCCCCACCTCAGCCCTATATTTACTGGTGAAGCCGCAGCTTTATTTTGGCAGCTCTSGGCTGGTAAATATTGGCTTAAACCGAAAACCAGACGCCTGACTCACGGCGTCTTAACAAACACAGGAAGGGGCCCCTGGCGCGTGTGGGGTGCTGCCAGCCCTGGGGACAGGGGGACCCTCCGCCGGGGCGGGGGCCACCTCAGCCGCACAGGGGGCGTGTGAGCGGCGCATCCTTGCGCTGGCAGCTTTGGCTGCAGCGTGGTTTCCTGCGGGGGAACACGCGGGGGACAGGGGATGGAGGGGAACAAAAACTGGGGTGCCCGTTTTTCCTCCCCTGCTCTGCACCAGGTTGGTTTTTAACCCTGCTTGGTTGAAAAGCAGCGAAGAATAACGAGACTGAAGGGACTTTGGGGCGGAGGGCAGCCCGAGACCCTCCTCCCCAGGCTTGCCCCATCACCAGGATTGTCCCCCCAGAGTCCGAGCCCGTCCCCTCGTGGTCACCACGATGTGTGTGAAATATCCCCCCAGCCCCAGTGCCCCCCTCCTCTCCCCCGCCCGCCCCGGCCGTTGTTACTCGAGGGTACAGGATGTTCTCGCTCAGCCGAGCTCCCGCTCCCCAACCTCTCCCCGCCTCTCCCCCCTTTCCGCCAGCCCTCGGCCTTCACCTCTCCTCCTCTGCACTTCTTTAACCCTTTTATTTTCCCCAAACGCCGCCTTTTCCTCTTCTTCTTTTTTTTTTCTCCTCCGTTTCTTTTTCATTTCCGCGCAGATGCACCCAAGCTCCTTCTCTGCCCGTTCCGGGGCGTCCCCGCACCCCCAGTTTTCCGCAGCTCCGTTGGGGTGCCCACCCAAAGCCCGACTTTGCAGACGATCCCAACAAAGTCACCCCGCTCCCAGYCTTGCAAAACGCTCCAAGGAAAATGTGCGTGTGCGTCCGGGGGAGGGTGCCGGGTGCTCGCTCCTGCAGCCTTCACCCCTGGGCAGGGAGGCTGCCAGCCCCGGGAAAGGGTCGAAAGTTCATTTTCGGGGGGGYTGAGCTGCCCCGGGCCCCCGTGGTGGAAGGGACAGGAACAGCCCTGCTGCTCYCAGCTTGGGGCAGTAATTCGAGTGAGGAAATACCCCGAGCACAGCCTAATTCATGTCCCTGCACCCCAATTTGCTGCAGAGAGGGGCATTGATGGGCCTGATCCTGCAGCGGGGTCAGAGGAACTCCCGGGGCTTTGATTGGGGGGCACAGGAGATGTTTTGGGACAGGTTTGGGCTGTGGGGGGTGCTCAGAGGTGTTTGGGGGTGCACAGAGGCCCCTGGGGCTGCCTGTCTGCTCTTGGCTCTGAGTTTTGTTCCCCTCCTTACACCTTCACCCCCCAGCATGGTCAGAATTTGGCAAAGCAGCCCCTCTCAGGGTATCCCTCAGCCAAAGCAGGAGCCAGAGGRATGAAACACATCCTTAGAGGGTGTGGGACACCCTAACCACCACCAGGGACTCGAGGAATCCCAAATCCTCGGGGATTTGCCCCAGCTTGCCCCCAGTGCTGACCTGGGACACCTCAACCCGTGCCTGCAGCAGCAAAACCCCCAAGGCAGGTTCAGATCATGGGGCACAGTGGGGTGCAGCCCCAAAAAGCGGCCCCCAAGGATGAGAGGGCCTGATCCTGTGGGTGATTTAGGGTTTTCCTAAATCTGGGCCAGGTTTTCCCTGTCCCAGGGAGATGGCTTTGGGATGAAGCTGGCGAGGAGCCATTCTTCAAGCGCTCTCTGGAAGAAAAGCAACCTTTCTAGCAAAACGAAAAAAAAAAAAAAAATTCATGAAAAGCTCTGGTTTGCCTCTTCTTGCCAAAACCAATTGTTGATGATTTTTCACGGCTGCTTTGGCTTTGCCTTTGCCTGTGACAGAGGGAACAATGTCACACACACTCCTGTTTTCCCACTCTGATCTTTTTCCCTGGACTTGGAAAAAGGGAAGGATCCSACTGAAGGACAGGGACCTGCTCTAGGCAAAGAACAGATCTGGGGGCTCCCAAAACTGGCATGAGGATCTCAGTTTTTCCTCCCTCACCAGGGTTGGGTTTGGGGCTGGAAGTGGGGTCCCTTGAAAGTGGAACCCCCAGAACAGCYGAGGGCTGAGGACTGCCCAGCTTAGGGCAGTAGTGGGGGTTGCAAGTRGGACATGGGGGTGCAAAAGTGGCTCTGGGAGCCCTCCAGACACCCCACACACCTCCACAAGTGCCCCTCCATATTGTTCACCAGGGCACAAGGGGAAAAAAWCCCCATCCTGAATAATTTGTGCTGCTGGAAGAATTAATTAGAGCAATACTGGGAGGTGGGGAGGGCAAGGAGGGGATGTTGGGCTGCATCAGTCTGGGGACAACTCAAAGCTGGGTGCTTTGCAACAGCCATTTTGGGGTGGGACCTCTGCAGCTGGGCACTAAATTCCCTGAAATTCTGATGAGCTGATCTGGGGGACCAGAGTGAGGGTGGGAGGGGGGATTGTGAGGGATAGCTCCATGGTATTGATGGGGATTCGCTCTGGGGGATGCTGGAGGGGTGTTAGGGGTGATGCTGGGAGGGAAAAACTGGGGTTGATGCCGGGGGGATTCTGGGGGGGCAGTGGGAATATCGGTATGGATGCTGTGGGGGATACTGGGGAGGATGTCGGGAGAGATTCTAGGGGGGATATTGGGGGGAAATGTAGGGGGGGAGAATTTAGTGAGGATGTTGTGGGGGCGCTGGAGGTGGATTTATGGAGGGATATTGAGTGGGATATTCGGGGG